GCCATGTGGTTGGCTCAGGGATGGACACATGACCAGCTTCGAGCCAACGAGAGCTGAGTTTGGGACTTTTGCTGAAACATTTGGGAAAGGAACACTCTTCTTACTGGAGTTTCTAAACTGGGAGTGTGTAAATTTGCAGCTGGTAAGGGCCATCTGTGCCACCACATGGGTAGAGCCAGCTTGAGAGTAAAGCCAAACAGAGGAAATCAGAGCCGAGAGAGAGAGACATTTTTTAAGACAGCATTTCAGTCCCTGGATTCAGCCATGCCTGAGGACAGCCCACTCCAGGATTTTTCAGTCACATGAACCAGTTCAAGTGGGATTTCTATCACTTGCAAGGAATCCGAAGCAATACACCTCCTAAGGGCCAGGTACCACGCTGGGCAGTGGGGCTAGAACCACAAGAAGAGGTAGTCTGATCCGAAAAGGGCTCATTTTCTACCTTTTTATTTCTAAGAATAGCTGTATTGAAATATATTCATATATCATAACATTCATTCTTTTGAAGTATATGATTCTACAGTTTTTGAATATTCATAGAACCGTGAAGTCATCACCACGATCCCTTTCTATCTTACCTTGAAAATGGCCAATATGTGCTGGCCCTGTTCTCCCCTATGCACCAGTTCCGCCCTCGAACCCTGGGTTTTATTCCCTTCTGCAGCACCAGTGACTGCAGTAGGTGCTCAATTACTGCCTGCCAAGTTGTACTCAGACACCCTTGAAAAGCTCAGCCTCCATCCACCAGCTGCCTGGGCCCTTTCTAAAGCACAGTGAATGAGAGAACAGATATTTGGCAAAGCTGCTTAAGGAAAGGACATACCTATCACGAGGCTTCCCCTGGATTTTTCTAAGCTGGATCCCTGCATCAAGGTAGATTTCCTGAGAGGTGCACACCTAGAATGTGCTCCTTTGGCTCCCTGAACTTTCCCTAAGTTTATCACATAATAATTTAAACTAGTAACAAGTGGGAAAACATATAAATCCAACAATAGGGGAATGACTTAATATTTATGGTGCACCCATAGGATAGAATAGTGTACAGCCACTCAAAATCATCTTTGCAACTGAGGACATGGAGAAGTACCCATAATATAATGTTAAATTAATGAAACAAAATATAAAAGGGCACATAGAGTGAGATCTCAAGTACATAAAATAGTAAAACTTGGCAACTAGAAGGGAATAATGCTAATTATTAGGTGTAATTGTCTTTGTATAGGGGGATTATGAGCAATTATTATTTTTCTTCATGCTTCTTTCTAATTTTCCATTTTTCTAAAATGAACATTACTTTAGGGACACCTGGGTGGCTCAGTCAGTTAAGCGTCTGCCTTCAGCTCAGGTCATGATCCCAGGGTCCTGGGATCGAGCCCTGCTTCAGGCTCCCTGCTCAGCGAGGAGCCTGCTTCTCCCTCTGCCTGCCGTTCCCCCTGCTTGTGCTCTCTCCCTCTCTCTCCCTCTGGCAAATAAATAAATAAAATATTTAAAAAATAAAAAATTTTAAAATAAACATTAATCAAAGTAGAAAAGCCAACACTGTTTCTTATCTCATCCCTTGGTTATTATTTAATTTTATTCATTTGGCTACTGAAGGATGAGAAACAACATGTGAAGAACATTCTGAATCTCCCATGAAACTTTTTTAAAAAGACGTCGTCCTTCAGAATCTTTTAATCAAACATGTAAGTAATGTAATCCACCATTTTTACCTTTTTACCTTGACTGTCAGGAAGCTCAGAGCTAAAATGTAATACACAAAACTGTAATAACCCAGGTTCTTGGTATAATAACCTCCATGCTTCTATATGTCTTCTGATGCTTCTTTTATTTGTATATTCAGTCGTCTCACTTGTGTTTTTATATACTCAACTCTACTTTGGGATAAGATTTTATCTAGAGCAGAGAAAAGAGGTCCTAACCAGCAGATGCTCTGTTGGGATATTTCATTTTTAGGAACACAAGGCACTGAGTGGGGCTTTGAACATTCTAGTGTTATTCTAATTATAGTGAGAGGGTCAACCTAAAGAAATTCAGGCAGGAGGCTCCTTTATTGAGAGAGGTTCTCCCAGTGGTCAGATTAACCCATTACTTGGTAAATCTCCATCTCTTTGAAGACTGCATGGACCAAGGTCCCTCCTGGCTGCCCACAGCCTCTGGCCATTGACTGACAGCAAATGTCAGCAAAGCCAGCCAAAATCCATTCACCACATCCGTCTTGTGTTCAAGTCTACAGACAACAAGTGACACAGCCAGGAAGTGATCAGGGAGTACACACAATCCGCAAAGACGGCCCATGTGAATAAAACAGGCCCCAGATGCTCTAACACAGGCCCCAACCACCCTTCGGATCACTATGGATCTTGCTGCAATTACCCACACGGAGCATTCCTTTACTGCAGCTCAGCAAGAAAGTACCTCTTCTATGGAGATGGGCCACTTGAAAAAATTAAGTATTATATCACCTGCATGTTCTCCCAAACATGACACCTCATGGCAGGAGATAACATACGTATTTGATTGTAAGCCAGGATTCTTCTTTTTTTGGTGATAACTTCACTGATCCTTCACAAGATTTCAAAAGTGAGAAAAACAAAACAAGCAGTCTTGATGTTTAGTTGTGACCATTTTATCACACCTAAAGCTGCAACGTCTTACTTGTGACCACGCCAGAGGAAAACGCAGGAAGGGAGGCAGGAAACATTGCGTTGGTGCTTCCAGCATGTCAGACGGAGGCCTGGCTGCCGGGCCCGCCAGCTCACGGCACTCCCCACCTGGGCCCGTTATCCCCCTGGAGTGTCACACCACCACCCTACCTAGTACGTGCAACAGCCCCGCTTTTCCAGATGCGAGAATCTAAGGTGAAGACAGATCCAATGACCCCACTCAAGGTCACCCAAGGGGAAGATAACTGGCATCTGACTAGAACCCAGGTCCCACCCACTGCAAAGCCCTCGCTCTGTGCCCCTTCACACGGCCAGAGACGCTTCTCTGTTTGCACGAGGCTGAGAGTACCCTGCGCCCTCCGTCCCACACTGCTTCCTGAAGATTCCCACCAACTGAAGAACCTCATCTTCTCGCCTTTGGGCCCTCTCACTCAGAAAGTCATCAAGACACACTTGAAAAATAAATGTAAAAGCTTCAACCCACACCCTGAAACCAAGCACCCATGCCTTCGCTGCCACAAACAAGCTAATGTGAAATCTCTTTCAGGGAGGCTTTCTGAAGGGAATCAATTGATGATGAAAACATTCTGCAGATGACAACATTCCGTGATGATGCAAGCAGGGCTGCCCTAGCTACAACTGTTTCTGTCTCCAAAGAACCGGCTCTCTCCTGTCCCTTCTGAAAGAGTATGTATGGAGGCAACAGGGAAACAGCGCCGAGGGGACATGCCTAGGTCAGAACTGAGGTGCGCTGTGCATTTCTGCGTGCCAGACAAGTCCCCCGGAAAACTTGCAATGTTCGGGCAAAGATGAGGGCGACGAGAATGCCATTCAGAAACAATTCCACACTCGGGTTAGTTCTGCTCAGCCTCCCAGCTTGCATCCTCCCGGGGCAGAAGGAGGCTCTCCGCTTGCAGCAGGCGGCGCGCACCGCCACCAACTGCCACCCGTTCCTTCACCTTTTATTTACAGCGCAGAGCAGGCTGGTTCATCAGTGAAGGGGGGAGGCGGGGAATAAAGATGCCATCCAGATTTCTGTTCTTTCTCAGGGGACAAAAAAAAGGGGGGATATCAGGCGAGAAGGAAGCGGAGCCCAGGCCGCACGGGCAGCGCGGAAGCGCAAAGCTCCTCTCCGAAGGGGGGGAGGAGAGGCACCTGGGCTGGGAGCAGAGGCTCCCGGGGAGCTCCGGGAAGCCGGGGTCAAGCCCAGCACCCGGCCCGGCTTGGCGCGGTGCTCAAGGCGCCAACAGACCGCACTGCACAGGAAATCACTGCCCCCTTCAGGCCGCGTCTGAGACGCGGCGGCCGGAGCGGAGGGGCTCCCTCAGTCCGGAAAAACTCGCAAACCCGACCTCGCGCGGCCGGCGATCGCTCCTCCAGACCCCCTCCAGCTGCCGTGCAGGCGGTGTAGGTCCGCGCTGGAGCTTCAGCCAGAACCCGCGCTGCGGGCGTGAGGCGGGGGGCTTGGGATGCGAAGCCCTGGGCTCTGCCGCTCCCCTCGGAGAAGGAGGCCGAGAGGGCCAGCCCGCTGCTGCGCTCCAAGTCCGTGCTTCAAGTCTGCGCCCGGAGAAACTGCGCCTGCAGCCTCAGGGCCGACAGCAGCGGCGCTGCCGGACACCCCTGCGCGTCCGCAGCGAGACCTGCTCAGGGCACTCTCTGAGCAACTAAACCGAGGGGGAGTCTCCCCATAAAATCGCTCCGGCTGCAGGCAGCGCCGGGCACATTCAGGCAGCAGCCGTTTAGAGCCGGCGGCCCCACACCTGCCCGCGCGGTGCGGGCTCCGAGCCGCCTGCGCGCACCACGCGCCCAGCCCTCCTGCGCGCTCTGGCCCCTCGGGTCCCGGAGCCCTCCGGACCTCAAAGCGCGGCCGGGCTCTCCTGGGGGCCCGCGAGCAGGCCATGGCCTCTCTAGCCCCGAGTGGCCCAGTTTCCAGTCAATGCGCCTGCCTGTTCCTCCCACCCGGCAGTCCACAGCCCCACCAGCGGGACCTGGGCAACCACTGCAGGCCTTTTAGAGGGTCCAGTCCCCACCTTCTACACTCCTTCTCCGGTCAAAGGAAACCCGTCTTCTGTCCCCCACCCCCCAACACACATACACACACACAATCCCAGAGGAGGGAGATGCTCAGCAAATCTTGGTACCAGCTGTGCCAGCCAAGCCCGGAGGGACCCCGGGGTGAACACTGAGCACCAGCCCGCGGAGCCCTCGGCAGGCACAGGCGGCTCAATCTCAAGGGCTCTGCCCAAGGGTCGAAGCTTCCCTCGGTTCGGCACTCCCTCACCCGCCGCCCCCTCCCCCCCCCAGCCCCGACGGCGCGGGCGGCCGGACACTCACCTCGGTGTCGTAGAGCCGCAGGTCGAGGAAGTAGGGGCGCAGGAGCGACTCGTTGCGGATCTGCTCGATGGCCAGTTCCACGGCGGGGAGCACGCCGCGCCCGATGCTGCCCTTGGCCACCTCCTTGGTGAGCGGCATGAGGCCCATGATGGAGAGCGGCGGGCTGCTGGGCGGCGGCCGGGGGGCACCTCGCGCCCAGCCCCAGGCCCCGGGCGCCAGCGGCAGCAGCAGCGGCAGCAGCAGGAGCAGCAGCAGGCGCGCGGGCGGCGGCGGCGGCGGCGGCGGCGGCGGCGGCCCGGGCTGCCCGGAGCTCCGCGGGGAAGCCATGCCGCGCCGCGGGCTGCGGGCGCCGGCTCACTCGGCCCGCATGGCCTGGCCCGGCCCGCCGCCCCGCGCCAAGCTCTCCCCGCGGCGCCCGCGCAATGGCGCCGGCACCGGCGCCGGCTCCGGCTCGGGCTCCTGCTCGGCTCTGAACGGCCGCGGCGGCGGCGGCAGCGGCGGCGCCCGTGACGGATCAATCACGCCGGGAAGGGGCGGGAGCGAGCGGAGTGCGGGAGGCGGGGAGCGAGAGAGCAAACGCGGAGAGGGGGGGCCGGCGTCTTCGCGCGCGCCTCTCTCCGGCGCGGCCACCCCGAACCAGGCCGCCTCCGCCCGCCCCCGTGCGCGCTCTGAGCCGCTCTCCCGCCGGGAGCTGCTCGGCGGCAGCCCCTGGAAGCCCGGCCGGGGGAGGGCGGGCGTCAGGAAACGCGGGAGGCGAAGGCGAGGCTGCTCGGCGGCGGCTCGGGCCGCCTCCGGGGACGAGGACGGGCCGTGCGCGCCGGGGGAGGGGGAGGCGCTGGCGCAGGGGCGGCCGCGGGGAAGGCCGCCTTCCCAGCACACGCACACACGCGCCCCGCGGCCCTCCGCCGAGCGGGCTGTCGCTGTCCGCGGACCTTCGGGGACCTGAGCGCCCGGGGACAGGGGTTGGGGGACCGAGCCGTGCGTGCTGGCACACGCAGTGGCCGCCGCCGCTCCGCCGAGCTTTTCCTGCACGGTGGTTTGGGACTGCTGCTCGGAGGTCTGTCTGGGAAGGTCTGCGCTGCGAGCGCGCCACGGAGGCGTCCTAGAGGCACCTGCAGCCTTATGCTCTTCTGTTCTGCGCGGGTGTCCGCGGAGGCCCTAACCGAGCCCGAAGGGGCGGCCAAAGATGCCGCCGGCACTCTAACATCCTTTGGTGCTAGGGTGTCCAGAGCTCAGGGCCTTGACTGAGAGCCCTCCGAATTCCCCACCAGACTGAGAAGCCGTCCTCTGCCAACCTCAGAAGAGATTAGGGTCCTCACCTTGCGCCCCCTCCAGGCATTTGACCTCCCCGCGTCCCCACTCCCAGAGGGCTCCGCCCTAGAATTTTCCCTCTGGGTGGGAGCACTACTCGGAGCAGATCCCTGCTTCCCTTGACTTGGTCCTCTCTTGGCCGGGTCGCGCAGGCTGCACTGGCTAACCTTAGGCAAAGCAGTCCTGTGATCTGACCGAGCCCCTCCACGCTTGAAGAAGAGAAATTGTGGGTCATTAAAATATAAAATCCCAAGGGGTGATTAATGAGAGGAGACAGTAGGACATCAAATGAGAAAACATCCTTGTGCTTGAGCCAACCATTGTGGGCCATATCCACGACCTTGCAACAAGGTTGGAAGTTTAACCTTCACTGAGCATTTACTACCTGCCTTATAATGTAATCCTCACAACAGCCCAGTGAACGAAGTCCTGTGTTTATGATCCTCGATTTACAGGTGAATACACTGAGGCTCAGGGAGGTTCCACAGCTTGTCCAAGTACACAGAGCTACCAGGGTAGGACTGGAACCCAGAGCCAGCAGGAGCTCTGTACATAGTGCAGTGGGAGCCAGGATGGGGGACAACCTCCACTATGGGAGGGGCACTGCCCTGACTTTCAATTGTTCAGAACCTCGGTTCCCTCAGGTATGTGGTGAAGGAGTTGGACCAGATGAAGTCCACAGACTTGCTCTTCTGGAGTGAGGTAGGGGCAGCCCTGAATCACAGGCTAGTTAATCAGGAAGCATGAGGACAGAGAGGGGAGGTTGTGCCCAATCCTGGAGAGTACCTTGGACAGCTCTGGGGAGCCCAGGCCAAGTACTCCTGTTCCCAACTCCTCTTTCTAGGCTTCTGCACACATCACTCCTGAGCTTCACTTAGCCAAAGGACAGAGCTTTGCATGGACAGAGCTCACCTGAGCATCTCCACGAACAAGACCAAAAACGGTCCAGAGGACAAGGTAATCTCTCTTAGCTGGTGTTCACTTGACATCACAGCTGTCCTCTAGCCATCGGCTTCTGGCATCGGCCCTTCCTCAACTTCTCAGTTCAGGTTTCTCAATGAGCATTTTCACTTTTTTTCCTTTTTTTCCCTTAGTCATTTGTGCTTTCCTTGTAAGCTGTGCCAATATGGAGTATCCACAGACACCTACATCTGGGAATAAGTTGAAAGCTAGGATAACTTTGATTGACATTTTCTAAGTGGTTGAAGGCCTTGCCTGACCCCTGCCTTTCAGCCCCTCTGTCTCCACTTATGGGGTGACCTGGCCCCAAGATATGTGGCCTGGGACCAGCCCTGACCCGAAGAGTGCCAGCCTCACTCTCCGTCAGCCTGGATCCAGGCCAGGCTCTCTCATCTCATGCCCACTTCTGATGCCTGGGCATCCCTCTGGTTCCCAGATCCTACCCTGGCTTGTGTTCCAGTTTGGATAACTGGACTCCTGGCATGCTTCCTAGGTCTGAGTTCCTGCCTTGGTCACCAGCCTCGAGTCCATATTCCCCTACAGCTGGAGTCCAGCCTCTTGCTTTAAAATAATCATTCATTCCTTCAACAAATGTTTTGCAGCTTCTACTGTGTGCTGGGCAGTGTCCTAGGAGCTGAGGAGGCAGGAATAAACAAGCCAAACTAAAATCCCTGCTCTCATAAAATTTACATTCTAGTGGAGAGAAAGAAACAATAAACAGAAATAGTAATAAGAAGATATCTTAGTATGACAGCTTATGAAAAGTGCTATAGAAAACAAAGCAGGAAAGAGGGTTGACTCTGATAGGGTGGGGCTGCAATTTGAAATGGGGGGGTCAGAGAAGGACTCATGGAGGTGATTTTTCAGCAAAGACCTAAAGGAGACGAGCAAGCAAGACATGCAGATAGTGTCCCAGGTGGAGGAACAGCAAGGGCAGAGGCTCCGAGACAGGAGTGTGCCTGACATGTTCAAGGAACAGTCAGGAAGCTGGTGTGGCTGGAGCAAAGTGAGCAAGGGGAAAAGTGGTAGTATCCAAGGTCAAAGGCAGGCAGGATCAAGTAGGACTGACTGCACCTGACAAAGTGGAGAACAACTGGAGGGTACTGAGTGGAGCAGTGACATGATCTGACATATTTGAACAGGATCAAAAGGGGGAAGCAGAGAAACCAGCTAGGAGACTGTTATGATAAGCTGCGCTTGGTGGCAGGAACCAGGGCGCAGAGGAGGTGATGAGAAGTGGCTAGATTAATAACTGTTCTTCTCATTATTAATGGGAATAATATGCATCAGCAGATGCCAAGTCCCAGGACCATAGTAAACACTGATTTATAGGCTCATCTACCTTACAAGGGACATAGTAGAGACTTAAGAAAGCATCATGCTCAGGGTCACGCACCTAGAAAATAATAAAACATGCATGTCAGTCCAGGTCTGTATGGCTTAAATTCTCATCTTCCCCAAATCCTGCCTCCTTAGCAATTCTTTCTCCCATGCCCTTTCCCTGCACACAAGAACCAGAAGCCAGTCTCCAAACCCTGGCTTAGAGGTTGGGGCTGCTTTGAAAGATGATGCCAAGTCCCTATCTGAGGATTTTGGGGGCTCCATGATCCATCTGGCTTGCCTTTGAGCAGGATCCCAAAACCAGGCACCCCCCCTCTTGCTATCTATCCTTTTTTCAGGCTGGGCTGGACACCCCTCCCTGCCCTGGTGCCAGAGGCAGGGATCTGCCCTCCTGCAGCTGCCTCCTCCCAGGAACTGGCTCCAGTTTCCAATACCCTGTTCCCAGTCTGACCTGCCATCCCTGTCTGCCTCTGTTCTTACTCCAGCAACAGGGAGGTCTTCTTTTACTTTTTTCTTTAAAAAAAAAAAAAAAAAGCACAAAACCCCCAAAATTTAAAAAACCCATAAGCCATCTTACAAGTATCTCCCATGTATTTCTTCTCTTTCCCCCATGTATTTCTTATTCCTGTTTACATTGAAATGTTTCTTTCAACCAAGTAGCTCAGCTGTTTTTTTAAGTACCTTGTTTGTTTTCAATTCTTTTTTTTAAATAGGTAAGTTATGAATGTTGGCTCCAAAAAAGATGAGCTGAATGAATCTAAGTTGCTCTTCCCTTTTCACAAGGCATGTTTTTAAACCATAAAATTGGGTTTCAGGCATCAATGTGGTCTGGTGACACAGTTCGGGTAATAATAATAGCTACCATTTATTAAACACCTACCTACTCTGTGCTAGACACCTTGGTATGCATCATCTTAATCTTAATAACTGCCAGAAAAATAGGTGTTAGGATCCCAGTTTTGCAAATTACAAGACTGAAGTCCAGACGGATTAACTAACATGCCTAATGATACTTGGCAGAGACAGTGACGGGGCCCAAATCCAGTCTGTTTGACCCCAAACTCCTGCATATTTCTCTATTCCACATGTCTCTCCTGGAAGATACCTTTATATGACTGAGGAGTTAATAGTCTTAAAGAACTAAAGAATGCTCCTGAGGATCGACACCAGAAAAATGTAAAATGGGGTCGCCTGGGTGGCTCAGTCGGTTAAGCGGCTGCCTTCAGCCTGGGTCATGATCCCAGGGTCCTGGGATCGAGCCCCGCATTGGGCAGGGAGCCTGCTTCTCCCTCTCTCTCCCTCTGCTTGTGCTCTCTCTGTCAAATAAATAAAATCTTTAAAAAAAAAAAAGGAAAATGTAAAATGACTTGGCCAGAGTCCCTCACCAAATGAGAGATGAAGCTGGCCTTCCTCCTGAGTTATTGGAGGAGAGCATCTGGCCTGGAGAGAGTCTATGACTGAACCCTTCCGGAGTCAATGCCGAGCCCGGGGTAGACCAGAAGAGCCTGGAGCGTCTCCTTCCACCCGTGCTCTTTGTCGGTTTGAGAACAGTGGAAGGATGGGGGAGTCACCTTGCTCGGTGTCGGCTGGACAAGCCCTGGGCAGACACAGGCAGGAAATTTAGCTTAAACCCGAGTGGTGTCCAAAAGGACACATACTGGCAAGGATGCCAAAACCCCCTCTCATCTACAGGTTTCACAAACAAGAAGATGCTTTAGGAAGGGGCACAGTTTAGGAACAGAACCTTGGACAGACGGCAAAATCTCTGGTCCAACCCCTCACCAAACCGTAGGAAGCAGGCGGTCCTGGACTCAAAGTCTGGCTCACCAGTTATTAGTGACTCAATTCTGGGGGAGTCACTTACTCTCCTGACCTTCAGTTTCCTCACCTGTAAAGTGGGAATAAACAATTCCTCTTTCATATCAAGTTTATCATGAGGATTAAATAATTACAACAGCTAGTGTATTTTGAGTACTCACATGTGCCAGGCACTGTTCTAAGCAATTTTCACATCTTTAACCCCCTTGGTAAGTAAAATAATGCATATATGCATATAAAGCACTTACCGCAGTACTAAACTCTTATTAGGCATGCGACTAATAATAATAGTAGTAATAATACCACCAGAAATGTTAAGATCAGTGCCTCCTGAGGCTCCCACTCCATTATTTGGTCGATGGGGGTTTTGTGCATGATTTCTGAGGCTCCACCAAAGTCAGTCTTCCTGTCGCATCCACTCTGGATCCCAATCTGCCACCGGGGTCCGTGGTGCTCTCCCTCACCCGTGGTGCCCTTCACCAAGGACAGCTCACAAACAACGCCACATTCCACCCCCAACTAAGTCACCTCTTCCTCAGGAGAAATGCGCCCAGGTTCCTCAACTTTCCCTGGCCAGTAGTCTGCTCCTGGCTTTCTTCAAGGGTGATGTCCAGAACTGACCACAAGCCCTCCATACAGACGAAGAGGCACGTGGAATAGCAGGCCCACCCCTCTGTGCTCAGGCCGCCGGGATGCTGTGCTGGCATTTGGTGGCAGCCACATCACCCTGTGGCTCATAGAAAGCTTGTGGCTCTCCGAGAGCCCTAGGTTTGCTCTCTGTGGACTTGTTGCTGTCTGTTTCAAGGGAGCAGCGAGCCAGGTCTCTCTGATCCTATTTACCAGCAGTGTAATTCAGGCATCTCGGAACAGGGCTGAAACATTTCACCCGTGATTACGTCCCCATGTTCCAGCCTACTGAGGGCATCTTGCATCATGGGTCTCTTTTCTAGCATATTCGCCATCTCCTCAGTTGGTGCCATTGCTATTGGACAATCTCATTTGCTTTCCTAAGCTAAAGCATCGGTCCAAGTGTGAAATAGGAGAGTGTCAAAGAGCTTTGGGACTGCCCACGCTAGCAGCCATCGGCCCCCTATGGTCATGTGACCAGACCAATGAAGCTTTCCCCCAACCTCTGCTTTCCGCAGCCCATGTTTGTCCAGCTTGCATGCCAAAATGTCAAGAGAATTCTTGCTACAGCTCTTACTGAAGCCCCCATGCACTCTGTCTCCTTAATTTCTCTGACCTGCCAGAGTAGTAACCACACATACAGGTGAGTGTGGCTGGCTGGTTCTTGGTGAACCCACATCCACGCCTAGGCACCATCCCTCTCCTCTCTGTGCAATCACACAGTATTTGTAAAATCAGTACTTCTCGAATGCCGCTGAGGGTCAACACCCAAATCCCATATGGCTGACCTCGCCCTTTTAGCCTCTCGGGACACCCAAACACTGCTGTGTCCCCCACCTCCTGGCCCTTCCATTCACTCATCTCCCAAAGATCCTTAGAGGCTCTGGTTGGATATCATCCGCAGTTTCCCGCCCTGCCCTCACAGGTACCTCATGGACCTGGAGACGTGGGCTGATTGAATGCATCCTCATCTCTCCTTCCCTCGTAATTATGCTCACCTCTCTATTTCTGTTTGCTGGTCATTCTCCACCAGAATGTCCAGTGTGCCTCTCTCACAGGCCTGGAGGTGAAAAAGCTGCATTCTTTATCCACCTATGCTTGCTCCAAGTGCACTGTATGAAGCCTCTGGAGTGGTCTGTGACTCATTCTGGCATTGAGTGCTTGTGTGTTCCAGCAGGTGCCTCCATTTTAGACCCCTGCTCCCAGTGTCTCTCTGTGTCCCTAATTTGGGGGGGCAAGGGAGCCAATTGTATTGAACCATGACATACATACAGAAAAGTGTGCAAATGTTAATGCACAGCTCAACTAATTTTCATAAAGTGAATACACCCACGTAAACAGCACCAAGAGGCAGAACATGACCAGCATCCGAAAGCCCCCATGGGGTCCCTGCCAGTCATTACCTTCCCTCAGGGTAACCAGCATCCTTACTGTTAACACTATAGATCAGTTTTTGCCTTTTCTTGATCCTGATGTAAATAGAATCACCTGTCTGTCCTCTTTTGTGTCTGGCTTCTCTCACTCTACGTAGTTAGTGAGATTCATCCATGTTGTTATATGTGACTGTAGATCTTTTATTCTCATAGTCTTGTGCTTGCCTTAGCCTTTTACAATCCAACTTCATCCCATGGGATCCATGTGCAGCCCCTTGGTTTTCTCTCTACCCGCCCCCAAGAGGGCTGGTTGTGAGTCTCACCTGCATCCCCACCTCTGGTCTCACCCTTTGATCTACCCTTCATTTACCCTGCCAGATGAGCCTCTCCAGAGTTTGGCTCCAATCATGTCCTCCCAGCTCAAAACATTCTATGGCTCCCTGTTGTCTTATGGGGCACTAACTCCCAAGACTGGGGTTCCAGGCTCCTGACAATGTGGTTTCAGTGGTTCCAGCTTCACAACCAGCTGTACCTCCCCCACTCCCACATTCTGTAGTTGAACTACTCAGCATGTATTAGTGGGTCCATCACCATGTCTGCCCTTTTCGGCCTCCAGACCTTTGTTCATACTATTCCTTCAACCTGGAATGTTTTTCCCAATCTTCCTCCCATTGGTGAAATCCTGCACAACCCAGATCAAATGTCATGTCCCTGTGAGGACTCCCCTAGTCACCCCACAGAAGTAATGGATTCCTTCTCTCAGCTCCCATGGTGAGGCTTGGCTCCTGCTGAGACATACCGCTTATCACTTCTTTAAAAGTTAATTACCACATTTCACCCATTCTGAGACACATATTTGTATTCATCTCCAGGATCAGGATGCACCTTGCCCTTGATGGCATCTTATAATTCACAGTATTTTTTTACCTTTCTTGGTGATACATAAAATAATGGTGTCTTCAATTCGATGAAATACAGTGTTTCATTTTTTTTTTTTTTTTTGGTCTCAGCATATTCTAGAAAGACTCTCTGACACCACACTGCATTGTATAGTTAGTCCACATCTCTGGGTCCTTTTCCACGTGTGAGACCATAGTCACCCACAAAGCACGCAATATGGGTTTGTTGAATGAATAGGTGTGCATTATTCATCGTGTTTCTACCATGGGTAGAGGGGGTAGCATGGGGAAGGCCTCTCAGTGTGGCTCTTCATGAGGTTCCTCCCAAAGGGCAGAGGATCACTCTTTCCTTCCAGGGTGCTGAGGGCCAGGTGACAGTGGGGGCATCTCACTTCCCTGGGTCTGGCACAGCTTCGGGGGAGGAGGGAAAGCTACACTGGATTAATAGAATGCCAAATCCTTGATCAGCAAACCAAGCTTCAATTATAATATACTTCCTATCAGGTAAATATGATTTGCTTTTCAAGGATCTTATTTATGGCCTGGTTTTCAGGAGCACACTGAGACAGGAAGCTGTACATCCTATCCTGCCAATCTTATTCCAAGCTTTAAATAACAACAGTGAGTCTTTTCATTAGCTTTTTCCTAATGAAATCAGTTATTCCCTCTGCCCCACCCCCCAACCCAGCTCCATATTCTATTACATAACAAAGGACACAGATAGGCCGGCGTCTGACTTTGGTGATATTTTAGCTACTCTTTGCCCTTTTCTTAATATTCCAGCCGTTCAAATTCCATAGGTGATTTTAATAAAATCCAGCATGTTCTATTGTTTTCCAGGTGCTTCTAAAATTTGGAAATACAGCGTACGTTGTCAGATGCTTTGGGATGATCCACTTTGTGGATTAATGATACTCTATCCTCCCAATAGTCTGCCATAGACAAGTAGGTGTAAGATCTTCTGACTTCAGATGGATCTGTGTCTATGTTTAAAGGATTGGTTTAGAAGGAACTCTGCTCCTGTGTTCACCAGGGACCCTGAACAGGATAACAACTTCGTATGATTTGCTCCAGTTTTTGGTCAGTTTGATGAAGAATTCATTCTATGTATCAGGTGTTGCTTTCTGTTTGTTTTCCTGGGTATTTCAAGGGCATGGAGATTGCTAGGCTGATGAGCATGATAAAGTTCAACTGCATGGCCATCTGGACTTCCTTTGGGGAGTTTTTTTGATTGATATTTTTATTTTGTCAGGATCTTGGAAAGCACTTAATTCTTTTATACAATGTTCATTATCTTTTAGCAAATTAGATGCCTCTGGGGCTTTTCTAAATTCCATCTTCTCCTTTAAAAGATAGATACAATCACTTGCAATGTGAAAACAACAAATAAAAAGTTTCTTGCTGTCAAGAACAGTGACCTCTGGCTAATAGGACCAGGAGTGAGAGGTAATGGAAGGGTAAAAACAGATTTATTTTTCACCTTCTATCCTCCTGTACTGTTTGATTTTTTTTTTTTTTACTATGAGCATGTATCTCTTTTATTAAAGAAAAAAAAAAGCTTCCTGTATCATTTTGCTGTTTTATTATTGCTTTTGGTTCTATTTTTCTTCCTCTTATATTTTCATTTTGAGACATTCAGCCAGAGGATGACTCAGTTCATTTAAAAAAAATCCAACAACAACAAAAAGATTGGGAAAAAAAAAACCCCACTACATTCGGCTTCTATTGTTTACTATTGCTTTTCCTTTTCAATTTTCTGTTTATCTATGCTTCCATTTTTTTCAATATTAGATTTAATCTTATAATAGAAACAAAATAAAACCCTTAAGTCTCTAAAAAATAAACTTGTTGGGGGGAGTTAGGGACCCTTTAGAAAATCTGGGGGAGAATCTGGAGAGGCCCTCTGCAGAGGAGGAAGGTATAGACACACAGCCTCAGGGGTTCCCCCCGAATATCTATCTATTCAATATAGTCTAGTGTTCAATGTCCTTTGTTTATATTATCTCATTAAATGATCTCATTAATAAATCTGTAAGGCATTCTCATGCCCATTTTACAGAAGATAAAATGGAGTCTTAGGCTGAACGTCAAGACAGGACAGAAGAAGGGACAAACTTTGGGCTGTAATTCTGGACTTAAGAGTCCAACCGGTCTTTTCCATCACACCACAGTTTCAAGGTTAAGTGAAGAGTTGATTTACTAGCTTCTCCTGTTGGTTTTGTTCCCTTTGTTAAAAGTGGGCCTGACTGGGGCACCTGGGGGGGGGCTTAGTTGGTTAAGTATCAGACTCCTGCATTTGGCTCAGGTCATGATCTCAGGGTTGTCAGGCTCATGCTTAGCACAGCCGAGTCCGCTTGAGATTCTTTCCCTCCTCCCTCTGCCCTCCTCCTCTGCTCCTCCCCCGGCTCGTGAATAATATAAAAATAAATAAAATAAAATACTTTCTCTCTCTAAAATAGAAATAAATAAAATCTAAAAAAAAAAGTGGGTACCTGATGCCTCATTGTTTTCTTTGCCATTTCTTTTAGCAAGATTCCCTGTGGCTTGCATGTTCTTCTCTGGACGTTATCTTATGCTGGTATGAGTCTCCAAGGCGGTCATTTGATTTGTTGTCTCTTTGGAGGTCCTCAAAAGACATCCCAAAAGGGTCATAAGACCTGGAGTTCAAGCTTTCTCACTTCAACATCCCTGGCATGTAACAACACAAGCCCTAAGAGCAAGGAAGGGAGGGGACGGTGCAGGGAGGAGAGACGGAGGGAACCTAAGGAGACATGGAGACTGCATTTTGTTCCCAGGATGCTGGCATGTGGGAAGCTCCTTAGCCTCAGCTTCCTTTTTTAAAAATAGGATGAATGAGGATTCATGGGCAATTTTAACTACTGCACGTTGGGCTTCTACCATGTGCCTCACTCTGTGTTTGGCACTTTATAACTAGAAAAGGGTGGAGCTGGGATTCTAATCTGGGTCTGGAGGCCTCCAGGGCCTTCTGCCCTATTACCCTATGCTCTACTACTCCCACTATGATATCCTAATAGGCCCACTCTCCCCAAGTGACTGGCAGAAAGATCAAGGGGATGTGAAAGGAGATGCCACACCCTTCCAAATATCTCTTTTCTCTCTCTGAAATTTATTTCTTGCCAAAGTCTACATTTTTAATGTTCATGAAAGTGATATTATGATCAATGAAAAATTAATGTTCTGTGTCTATTCTTAGGCATTTATTTGTCTCCCAATCCACAATGATAACATGAACTGACTTTGGGAGAAATATTCATTTGGGGTTCATCTCCTCCCTACCCCACATAACCAGAGTGTTACTAGGGCTTGCTGTTATGTTACAGTATCTCTGCATATGTGTATTTGGGGGAGATTTAGCCAAGACAGAGAGCAGGACTAGCGTCCCTCATTGTGGTGATCTGATCTGCTTCGGTACTAGCTACTTCCAGTCCCCGACAAGCCAACTATCCCATCTCTGTGCCTCTGTGCACATGAAACCCTCCACTGGGAAAGCTTTTCTCTCCAGCTCTAAACTGCACCTGGTTTTCAGGCCCCACATTAAATTCCACCTCCTCCGTAAAGTCTTCCCTGGTTGTCCCTGCAAGGGGACGACCCCCCTGCCTTCTGCACGCTCAGCCCTTGTCCCTCACCTCCTGCTGGGCACCGAGCAGGTCCAACCTCGCACTCTCCCTGCTGGTGCTCAAGACTGCCTCTCCCACCAGGCTGCGGCCATCTTTCTCTGCCTCCTCCTTAGCCCTGCCCAGGGCCTGGGAGGTCCTTGGAGAGCATCTGTTGAAACGCACTCGTGACGCCCAAGATTCGTCTTCACTTTCTATCATTTCTCCTGTTGCCCTGCTCAGCTCTCCCAATCCTCCCGGTCAGATTCATTGTCACTCCTTCTGGCCCTCCATGTACCCTGTCCTCATTCTTTTTCTCACTGTGCACTTGACAGAGTGCCTGTTGTGTTACTGACAGAACAAACCACTCCAAGACTCTGGCTCAGAATAGCAAGCATGTTGCTTATGACTAGCATCTGAGCTGGGCTCAGCTGGGCAGTTCTGCCGGTCCTGCTGGTGGTCACTCATGGGGCTGCATTCAGTTGGCAGGCTGGCCGGAGGTTGGGCTCAGCTGAGGAGGCTGGCACATTTGGGATTCTCTGTCTCTCCAGTTCATCTTGGAGCCTCTCCCTGTCCACATGGCCTCTGTACATGCTCTCTCTGCATGAGGTCTCTCCAGCAGGGCAGCCAGCTTCTGTGTGTCCGTGAAGGGCGCTGGGAGCACAGAAGCAGAAACCCCCAGCTTTCTTAAGGTTTAGGCCCAGAACAGGGACAATGTCACCTCCATCACGTTCCATAGGAAAACAAGTCACAGACCTAGCCCAGATTCAAGGGGAGAGGACTTCAGCATACCGTGGCCCCTGCACTCCACACAGCAGAGCTGTTTGACTCTGGGTCCGTCCCGCTCCCACGAGTGCACCCCCTGAGGGCAGTGCCTGACACAGAGTGGAGAACTCAGTAGGAAACAAGAGCAAATTCCCCAGAAGGGGTCGGGAAACCTGGCCTCCAGATGAGCTTTGCCGCAGCGTGACCTTGGGCATCCCTGGCCCCCTCTGGCCCTGTTTGCCGAGCCATAAGCATGAGAGGCTGAACCGATCAAGATCTCTTGGGCAGAGCTGACATTCCGTGACTCTGGCGGGCACAGCACTGACCACGGGCCCGTGCCCCAGCCACGGGCCCTCCGGCTGCCCCCCCAGATAGGCCATGTTTAGGCCTCTGCTCGTTTTCACACGTTATTCTGTCTGTATGATCCTATTCTTGTGGCGCTCACCTTTTCAAGGCATACTGTACATGTTTCACCCTCATTTGCAGAGGTCACATTAACCACCTCCCTGGCTTAAGGCACACTCATCATTCATTCCATGCAGCGTCCTTCTCCTGCTTGGTTTTTCCCTTCATCCCTGACCCCCACTCTTCCCCCAGCCCCCAACATGGTCACTCCTCCAATGTGCTTACATGTCACATGTTACTCATCCTCATACAATATCCGTTCCTCTGGCTATGGGTGGTCACGCCCCCCCCCTTTCCATTTTCCCACACACTGTAGATGTTCTTGGACATCTGTCCTTGTGCACCTGCAGGAGAGTCGCTCTAAGCTGCACACCTAGGATTTGGGCCTGCCTGAATTCTAGGGATGGGAATCAGACTAACGAGGAAACAGAAACTGCTTGAGTGTGTATGACACGGGGACTTGCATGCGGGGAACTGGTTACTCGGGGAATGAAAGGGCTGAGAAGCTATGGGGGGGGGTGGCACTCAGAAGTTAGCAACAGCAGGGAAGTGCTACCGGCGCGTCAGAGAGAGGTGGGCTTACCTGGCAAAGCTGGAGTCATCACTCACCTGTCCTGGCCCCTTGGAGGAGGCACAGCTGCCCCTTGCAGATGCCACCTGAGGTCAAGAGGAGGAAGAGAGATGCCCTGGCTTCTCCCTTCTTTCCATCCTCCAACTTCCTGTCAGTGCCTCCCACTGCAAGTCAGCTGACGGGAACCTGGGAAACGCACCCTGAAGGGACCAGGCCCCCACAATACAGAGCCTAGCAGGAGAGGACAAGAGACACGCACCTCAGGGACACACAGCCCGGGGCTGGCTCCGCAGCAGGGACAGACCCAACGTCACGAAAATCTGCCAGACTGCTCTCCAGATGTTTCCACGGCCCGCATCCTTCACAGCACTTAGCGTTATCCAACCTTTGAATTTTTTAAATGATGGGTATGAAATGGAATCTTGCTGTTGCAATTTGCATTTTTCTCAATGACTGGTGAGGTTGAGCATCTCTGCATATACTTAAACTAGTTTCTACTTATGTGAAATGGCCTGTTCCCGGTTTGCAAATAGTTCTTGTATAATCTAGCTATTAACCCCTTAGGAATCCCTTATCAGATTTAGGCACTGAAAACATCTCCTCCCTATCTGTTAACTTTGTGACCTTCATCTAAAAAGAAATCTTGAGGGGCACCTGGGTGGTTCACCCGGTTAAGCATCTGCCTTCTGCTCAGGTCATGATCCCAGGGTCCTGGGATCAAGTCCCGCATCGGGCTCCTTGCTCAGCAGGGAGCCTGCTTCTCCTTCTGCCTGCCATTCCCCCTGCTTGTACTCTCTCTCTGACAAATAAATAATTAAAATCTGTAAAAAATAAAATAAAATAAATAATAATAAATAAATCTTTAATTTTGATGTAGTCAAATCCACAATTTACCAGCGCTATCACCTTGGGCAGGTCATGCCCCCCCACCCCAGTTTGCTGTGCTGTAATTCTCTAAATGTACAAATGCAGAGAGAGGGGAAGAAACTTGGTCTTTTCTCCAGGTTCTCTCTCTGTGGCCCAGTTTTGAGCTGTTGCATCAGGAGATGTTCTCTGCTCTGTACCCAGGCTGAGTATTCATCACTAAAGAAGGCTTTGTTTTCCGGGTGTCAACTTCCCCGAAAACACACTAGACATTGTCTTCACAAACAACACCACAGTTGCAAATAGCAAGGCAGAATATGAAGGAAAGATGGTGCAACAAAATCGGTTTCCAAACTGGGCCCCTCTCAGGAAACTGTAAGGAAAGGAAGTAAAATACAAAGTTGAAAATTGGCATTTTTCAGTTCTCACTTTTCTCAGGTGTCATATCTCAAGGAAATAGACATATCTCAAGTTCATTTTCATTTCCCTGATTTCTTTAAAGTGTTCAGAAAGTCATACATTCATAGTTGTGGCGAGACAGGAGGAGATTTGGACACACGTCAGACAGACCCCACTCCAACATGTGGCTGATCTGGGATTTCCCACAAGTCACCCCACTGCTTTGAGCTCAGTTTCTGGAAAGTGAGATTTACCATGGAAACCTTTCCAAAGAAGCTTCAGAGAGTGGAAATGAAGTGTTTGCAATTTTTATAGATTTTTTTTGAGATTTTATTTATTTATTTGTGAGAGAGAGAGAGCATGAGTGGGGAGAGGGCAGAGGGGCAGAGGGAGAGGGAGAAGCAGATTCCCACTGAGCAGGGAGTCCGACGTGGGGCTTTGATTCAAGGACCCTGAGATCATGACCTGAGCCAAAGGCAGACGCTTAACCGAATGAGCCACCCAGGCGCCCCGCAATTTTTACAGATGTTTAAAGCACCTACTGTGTGCTAAGCACTAAGGTTTCTTTTTCTCATTTAATTTTCATAGCCATCATAAGAGGAGAAATTTATTATCCCCATCTTACAGATGAGAAGGCTGAGAGATTCCGAGGTTTAGAGAGTTCCCAGGCTCAAAACATCTAGGATTGCTATGCCCCTGCCCTTAGAATAGAAACTGTTGGAGGGGGTCACCAAGGGGACATGACTTCTGGTTGACCTGGGAGCTGCACCCCGGCACTAGAGGCTCCACATCCCTCCCCTGTCCTCAGAATGCGGGTTCTGCTTGCCTTCCCCACTCCCAGAGATCTGCTCCAAAGACATAGCCTTGGGATAGTAAGGCGGCGTTAAGACCATCTGGATGTATACATGACTAAACCCAGCTAAGGCCTCTGTATACCGAGATCCACCCCTCTTGCAGCTGTCCGAGACAAGCCTTGTATGCAAGTTCCCCTATCAAACATTTGGGGTGGGGGCTTTAGCTCTTCTATTAGGTATTTCTCAAGTTCTTTTCAGAGCAAAAAGTAACTCCTGGGAAATATGAAAGCACCACAGTCCTCATTTTCCTGCCTGGGAACCAAATTACAGAGGCTGCTGCCCAGGGCTCCCCTCCCTTCCCCCAGCTCAGGCTCTCTTATAGCCTTGGCAGCCCCAGGGCTCCCCAAACCCAGCTGCTGAGGCTCAGGGGCTCCCCTGAGATGACAATGAGGTGGTTCCTATAGCTCTGAACAAGTGGAAAAGGGGTGGGAGGACCTCGGCTACCCCAAGGGACAGAAGGTGAGTGACAGCCCCGAGGAAGGCACATTCATACAACGGGATCCAGAAATAACCAGGGCCATCCCCAGGAGTGAAGCTTCCCCTTAGGCCTATGGGGCCAGGAGATGTCCCCACTCCCCAGCTCCAACTCCACCACCAGGAAATGGTGTTGTCCCGAACCTGGAGGGTGGACACAGGATAGAGGAGCTTGAGGGCAGGACTTGGGAGTCTGAGGGTGGGCTGGGGTGACTTGGGGTAAACACAGCCATGGACATGCGCTGTCATTGCTACCCCTGGGTGCCACCCCTGGGTGCCAGCTTCGGCTAAGGGTCCTGGGGGCCACGACGGGACAGTGGCCTCAGATGCGTGCTCTCCCTGAGGCTGGAGAGAGAGTATTTCCAGCCAAGCCCCGTTCATAGGAAATTCCCAGGACCCAGCCAGCCAGGAGCTGTAGGGCCAGTGCTGATGTCTCTCCACTCAGGTACATGTCAGTTGTGGAACAAAGTATCGGGGTGACTCTAGGAGCAATAGGTCTTCTTTCCTTTCTTAAAAAATGATTAGCAAGTCACGGAATGTCAGAACGGGGAGGAACATCAGAGGCGGTCACGTGGAACCTGCCTCCCGGTGCACCTAGGAAAACAGGCTCAGAGAAGGCAAGACCCCAGCACCGTCTGCACAGCAGCCACCCGGGGCCTACATTCCCAGCAGAGCTCTCACCTCAAATGATTCCTAGTGGCCCCCGTGAGAAAAGTGTTCATCCCTGGAAAACCTCTGCTGAATCTGGAGCTGCCATGAAAGTGGGATTTTCCTCTAGAGTTTGAAAACTCAAAGGCATCACCCTCTCGTTTTTAAAATTGCATCCTGATTCATTTGGGCTCATGTGGTTTGCAGAAACCTTGTTGCTCCTAAGAAAACAACAAAGAAATGATGGCTTCCTGAGTCAAATCCCTGGGAGGTGCAGGACTCAAGAAACATTCTGCTTTTCATCTTGCAGAGCCCGTGGGGAACCAGAGAAATCCCAAGTCTCGTGTTTCCCGGAGAGCAACGTGACAATGCTGGAGCAGATACCAAAGGAGCAGAGATCCCCAGAGAGGAAAGAAGGGGACTTGAGAGTTGGGAGGCTTAGATTCAAATGCCAGTTTTATCACCGATTTGCTGTGTGACCTTGGGCAGGCGCCATCCCATTCTGGGCCTGTTTTCTCTCTCATAATTTGGAGGAAAGGTGAGATGCTCTCTAAGCACTCTTCCAGTGTCACCTCTGCCTTCCGAGCCCTCCCATCTCTGTCCCTGGACACCAACTCCAGCCTTCCCTCCGGGCTTGCAAAGCCTAGGAGGGATGGGAAAGGGTCTCCCAGCATATTTTCTTTCCACTTAAGCTCAGATTTACTAAGTGACTTGTCCGCATTTTTGGGGGGGGGGGAAGTGACAGCTAATGGATAAGGAGTACCTCAGGTGCTTTGTCTGGATCTGACCAGGGAAATCAGCAGGAAGATAATCTCTAGATTGCTCTGGGCTGACGTTACTGCTACAGGATGATGTTAATTCTGCTGTTTACAGAAATAAGTCCAGTGTGAGTCGAGGCTTTTTGGTGTTTAAAACCAGATGGTATTTCCTGCCTTGATCAGCCTCAGAGCTTTGGTTCCCATGACAACCCTGAAGTTCCACCTACTGCAACTTCCCTGGTCTCCAAGCTTCTTCCTCTTCCACCATTGTGCCAGGGCCCCTGGAGAATAAAGCCACTAAGTAGCATGTGCACAGCACTTTACAGTTTACAACACACTCCAGTATTTATTATCTCACTTACTCCCCACCGCACCCTCACCGGACAGAGTTTGCTGTTCTCTCCATTTCACAGACGGGAAAACCAAGGCCTCAGAGATGAGCTGATCTGCCCTCTCAGCCCGAAGTAGTGTCAGCCGGACTCAAACCCAGGTTTTATGACTTTGAACCTCATGTGGGGTCAGCTACAGAAGGATAAATATGAATGCCCTGCCCTGCAGACCATTTACTTGCTCTGGCTTCTAAGTAGTCAATTCCATACCTATATTGGGGATCAAGGTGTGGCATCCCTCAACAAGTTACTTGACTTCTCTGTGCCTCGTTTTCTTCATCTATGAGATGGGTAATTATAATGGTACCTGTGGATGGCGAGAGGATTAAATTAGCATGTGTGTCAAAGAACGAGTGCTTACTGGATTTCAGTGGGCCCGAGAAGCCCACTGAAAGCCCACTTAGTTCTACTCTAACCAGCATGTGACCTTGGGAGGGTCACTTTGCTTGTTGTCCCTGGCATCACGGTGTTCAGAGGGATGTTACGCATGATGAGGTTAATGCACGGAAGGGTACGGGAGAGCACCCTCTCTCACACCACTTTGACTAGCAAGGCTGTAGCTTCTAAGACAATAACATGCAAGTGTTACTACCAATCCATCACGCAGAGAGCCGTGCCCATAGTTCTCCAGTTATAAGCTGTCAAAAACTCAGGAAGCTTGGAGAGCTCACCGAGAGTATCAGCAGGAGCCCATTTGGAGGGTTTTCTCAGTTGGGAGATGTCCATCAAGGAGAAGGGCTCCCTGGGCCCCCAGTCCTGGGCTCTGTATCCTGGAACCCCCATGGGGCTCTGGTGAAAGCTACACCTGATCTCGGGGCTCTCAAGAGAGGGTGGAAAAATGTAAATGTGTTACATCTTACACATCAAAATATTCTCATTGATAATGACCTGTGCATTTCTTTAAAAATAAACTTTTTAAATAAAAAAAGTCGACGTGACCCAGGAAGGCTGGGTGATCCACGTACAAGTGGGTGACAGAATGTGGATCAAATAGAGCTATTACACAGGTCTAAAGAACACAGGCTGCACCTTGGGCTTTCTGGCCCAATGCTTTGTTCTGTGTTCTTCCTAAACAATTGCAGATTGTAAACTGAACTATGTGTGTTAAGTTCATTGCTTTGCAATAAACAAATATTTTCCATTCATTCTTGCAATTCGTCTGGCTGGGTGCATCCCAGGCCCTTGCTGCAGGTCCATAACCCAGCTTCTCTGATAGCTCGCAGCTCTGGGGGTCATTAATGTGGCAGAGCGCAATGTTCCCTGTACCGTGGCTGGTGCAGAGCTCCTTTGGCCCTGACCCCCAAGGAACAGGGAGAGAAATGAACGATTAAAAGTGGCAGATGCCCATGAGCACTCGCCCTGTGCCAGGCGCCGTGCTGAGCTCTTGACTTGGATTCTCTCAGTTAATCCTCACCCTGCCCTGTGAGCCAGGATTTTCACCACCCCCCGGGGATCATAAGCTCCATGAAGGCAGGGACTTTGCTTTGTTCCCTTGGTGCATCACCGGGGCCTGAGATGTGGTGAAGGAGTGTGTCAGTCCTCATTCCAACAACGAGGAAACAGAGCTTTGCTTACCTGAGGAAGGCTGCCAGCACCCACAGGCCTCTTGGCCAGCCTGGGGCTCCAGGTGGCTTGGTGGGCATTCTCTCGGAGGGTCCTGACACAGACTCTTGACCACGGTCCCTGGTGAGGAGTTAGTAAAATCAATTTGCCCTGAGGTCACCTCACTGATGAAGCCAACCTACAGAAGCCGCAGCGACATGGGTATATGGCCTCCAGTTCTAGATTCTTCTTTATGGCTGAGGTTCCCCTCTATATACACACACAGCCTCCCCATTTATAAACCCTGCTCACAGGCTGGGTGACCCAGGAGCAGACTCGGAGTGGACATTAGCCCGTAGCATGTGGTTTGGAGCTGTCTTGGGAGGGACCCTCGTGGCAGGATGGGGGCAAGTGGGACTGGGCAGAGGGAGGCGGGGGTGCAGGGCTGGTGGCCGCCGCGGTGGGCTAAGTGGGAGTTGATGGGGCTGGGCCCCTCGGAGGCATCGACTCAACAGCTGAAGAAGTCCTTCATCCAACGGGTGTCCATGCCAACACAGAAGGGCTTCTGAAAACACTCATCTGTGACTCAAACGGAGTGTTTCTGATTGTGATGAAAGTGGAGACAATTATTCAACTGAAAGAGCTGTGAGCAAGTGAAGCGGAGAAGCTCCGAGGCCCTTGAGGAAAAGCAATGAGAGCCAGAGAAAGGGCAAGTGGCCTGGGGCGAGTGAGGTTACCTGGCACCTAGAGAAAGTTCCCGCCTTCCAAGGGGACTTGCCTTCCCAGAGCCAGGACAAGACAGCCCCACTCACACATGAGGGTTTTCTGTGCCAGGCCCCAGAGACGCTGGCTTGAGACCCTCCATCCTTCTCGACCCTCTGACGAAGGGGACAGAGAGGTGTGTGTACATGAGTGTGGGGTGGGAGAGAGAAGAGAGGAAGACCCTAGGGTGCTTATGACCTTTCACCTTGATGAAAAGGTCCAGATGAGCAGACTGACAGGAGGAGGAGGGAGGGACAGCCAGCTGATGAGCTCTCCTCTTCTTCCTTTTTTTTGAAAACTCATGATAAAATGTGTATCACCTAAAACTTACTCCTTTAACCATTTTAAAGTGCACAATTTCTTGGCATTAAGTACATCCATGATTTACAACCATATCATTATTTAGTTCTAGAACTTTTTCATCACCCCAAAAAGAAACCCCCTCTGCAGTAAGGAGTCACTCCCCATTTCCTCAGCCCCCCAAACTCTGGCTCTCTCTACCTCTCTGCCTATTCTGGACGTTTCACATGAATGGAATCGCATAATATGGAGTCTGTTGCCTGGCTTCTCTCACTCAGCATAGTGTTCTCAAGGCTAGTCTATGCAGCGGCACTTGGCAGCATTCCGTTCCTTTTTATGGCCGAATAATATTCCATTGAGTGGCTATAGCACATTTTGTTTATCCCTTTATCTGCTGAGGGCCGTCTGGATGTTTCCACCTTTTGGCTACTGTGAAAGGTGCTCTGAATATTTGCATACAAGTTTTGTTTTGTTTTGTTTTTTGAATACCTACTTTCAATTCTTTGGGGTATATACGTAGGAGTGGAATTGCTGTGTTACATGGTCATTCTATATTTAACTTATTGATGAGCCACTCCGCCCTCTTTTCATAGATTTTCATAGAATCACAGGGCAGGAAGGGACCTCAAAAGTGACCTAACACAGTTTTTCTCAGACTTTTAGATTGACACATCAGTAAAACTAAAACTACCATCACCACCACCCCCTCTCGCTGAGTAGGAGGGATTTGCATCAAGGCCGATCCTACAAAATGCATATATTGCCAGGTAAACTCATTGCCTTCTTATTTTTCTCACGTCATCTGCACCTGTGGGTCATTGGGGAACCAACTGCTGGGTAAGATCCTCAAAGTGTGAATCCCCCTCTGCAGCTGCCCTGCTATGGGCTCGCCCAGCCTCTGGGGGCCCTTCTGGGGAATGCTCCCCCTCCCAGGTAGCTCTGCTTCCTGGAATGTTCTTCCTCACGGAAAGCTGGCTCTATTCCCATGGTCTCCCCAGCATCTTTGCTCCACCCTCTGGGGCCCCACAGACCTTGGCCTCCTTCCAGCTGCTTCAGGACTGGAACCCACGCCACCTTCCCCTTCCTGTATGTATGATCTGTAGCTCCAAGCGCGCCCCCATGAGGCACTGATAGCAGAACAGGTGGAGATGAGGCAGTCCCCTGACTTGTAAGAATTCTTAGAACAAAGAGAATCTCCCAGCTATTTATAGTGTTTCATGAGCACACACATCCCCCCAACTAGCCTGCCAAAAAAAAAAAAAAAAAAAAAAAAAAAATTGTGAACAAGCCATACAGACTAACAGGTTTTATTTTTGTTGTTGGCTGGGCTTATACCAATTTAATGTTTCTGTGTCGGAAGGCAGCAAGACGTCCTGGAGAAAATGTGGCTCCTCCTAAGAGTGAGAGAGGTGAGACCTGCATTCAAACCCACTGTCCCTTGTTAACTGGGAGACCTTGGTGAGGTTAATATCTGTGTGCCACAAAACAAAGGAACAAAGACAAAGAGAAAGAGACCAGGAAACAGACTCTAACTATAGAGAACTGGTGGTTACTGGAGGGGCGGGGGGTGGGGGGACTGGATGAAATAGGTGATGGGGGTTGAAGAGGACACTTAGGATGGAAAAAACAAAATCTGTGTGCCACAGTGACTGAACTGGTAGGAAGGGAATTAGAAAGCTGCTTGAGGGGGCACATGTGAAGGAGGCAAGGCAGCTTACAGCCACGCCAGCACGCCGTGGGCACCTGCTCTGTAATGGTTATCACTGGAAGAAATCTGAGCAGCATTTATGCCTTCGATGAGCAAAATCAAAGTGGGAAGACAAATTCACTGGTATTTGATATACATTTGGCAAACAAAAGTCCTTTAAAGAATCAAGTCCCTGCACGGAAATAACACTAAAATAATAATAAAAGTAATGTTTGATGGGTGAAGAACATGGGAACCCACTCTGGAGGGCTGAAACAAAATGGCAGCCTGGTCTCTTATCAAAGCCTACAGTGGCGTTGCTGAGGACTTAAAGTAAGGCTAAACTCCACCCCAGCCACCTGGAGGGTGGAGACAGGGTCTCCCTGAAGAGACAGCCATGCCCTTTGTCCCTTAGCCCTGGGGAGCTGGCTCCAACAGGAACTGGGAACCTGGTGGGGTTGGCTCACGCCACTGGGCAGGGCCCTGAGGAGGGAGTCCTGGATGGTCTCTGCCTTAGAAGGAACTGGAGACAGATGAACTGGGCTTTCTGCTCTATCCCACTACCAGTGATTCTGTTTGATTCCTCTTCTGTCACCCTAAGCTTTGGTGACTCACTGTCTATAGAGACTGGCTTCTTAGACGAGGGGCTGAAATTTCAGGCAGGGTCTAATCCCCTCTTAGACAGCATGTTACAGAGGAACAGGGGCCCCCTGAGGCCAGCGGGGAATCTGGCAAGCCCTCCAGAAATATTTAAGGGGAACCCACCCAGAGGAGGTGATTCACCTCCCACCTCCTGGGGAGGAGATTCATTCTCCAGCCTGTCCTACAGAATTTGGTATTGACTTTATCAGGGAAAAACATCAGGTGTCCTTACATGTTGAACAGGATCTATTAGTTAAGAAGACATGATTATCTTGCTTGACATAGACAAGGGCAGATGGGCACGGATGATGCTTCACAACCCCTTCAGGCTGTGCTGCAAAATCTTCCCAAGAAGGGTCCCGAGCTTTGGGAGGTGTTCTTGGTGGACGGGTCAGTGTAGGTGCCCACAGCTGCCTAGACCGATCCTGGCCCGCATGGCTATGTCCTTGGGCAGCTCCGAGTAGGAGAAAACTGGAAGGGTTTCCTGCTCCTCTTTGTTTGCTGGATCAGCTCCTGCAGTTTGGCTGGAAAGCCTTCCTGCTTCTTTCTGTCCACCTTGCTGGGAATCCCAAAGACACAAACACCCAGAGTCAGGACTGCTGGAGCGTGGGGATCCTCTGTCAATCCTTGCATCCTTGGGCTCTGATGCCAGCAGAGCCATCGAAGCTGCTGCTCCCTCTGGCAGGAGGCCCCTTCTTCTGGCCTTACTCCCTGCTCCCCACCCCAGCTATGGCTATGTCTGGGCAAGTGGGAGGTGGGGGTGGGGGGGAGGATGGGGAGATAGGAAAGAACATTGAGATTGATTTCAAATATGCAACCATAGTGGAGATTTCTCAAGTCTGCACGGCTCCACATGGTGTGGAAAGGGCTTTCTCACTTGCATCTGATCTTCAGCACCGTGGGGAGCACTGGCCCCTTCTAACCAAAAGGGAAAACTGAGATTCAAGAAGAAATAAGCCTGCTGTTACCCAGTAAGTGGCTGAGCCAAAACCCAGTGCTAGGGTTGACTCTAGATTCAGTGCTCTTTCCAGGGAGACAGACTGCTTCTATGCATTTTAAAGAAAAGAACCCAAATCAAAAAAACAACAAAAACCCAACCCAAATCAGAAAAACAGGTATCTAACTTAACCCCAGCCATATGTAGTCCACAAATGTTATATGTGGACTAACTTCACACAGGCTGTCCCCTTCTGGGGGCCCTTTGGCTTATCTGCCAGCCCTCTCCTACAGGGCCAAACCTTAGCCATCACAGATGACGTGCTCGGAGCCAGGGACCCAGCACACACCTTCATTACAAGCCTCCTCACACGGCACCGCAATGCTTTATTTACATGCTTGTCTCTTTAAGACACTGTGGGCTCCTTGAGGGCAGAGACGGGTATATTTTCATCTCTGGATCCAAAACACAAGCAGGGGCATGCACAGGCTGGATGCTCAGTGCATGTCTGTCTGGTGAATGCAAGGATGAAAGAGTAAGCATTCTCCTTGCAAAACTAGCTGGCTTCCATGTGACCATGTGGCAGCGAAGGAAGGTGGGAGCACCCCTGGCCCGTGGGGGGCGTGGCACGAACACGAAGCACCCGCGGGTTGGGGGGGGGGTGTGGAATCCGGCACTAAGGCTGGGAAACAGTGCCCTCTCCCCTGCTGGAGACCCCTGCAGAAGATGGAGAGTCCTCTGAGCCGGGTCCCAATCACCCAAAAGTCAGGGGACTCCCCTACCCTGATATCCTACTGCCAAGCAGGGCACCTC